GGGAATTAAATTACAGCCAGACTGAGCTTCATGACTTTGTCAGATTATAAACCACACATACTTACAAACACGCTACACATACATACAAAATGAGACAAATATAAATTAATATTAACAACACCCACAATTTGGTCAAAGGAGATCTACAGAGGAAATTGCACTAAAAAAAAAAACAACATACACCACACGCACATGGGTAATTAGCAGTTTCAAATATACAGCTGTGGATCATTTCAAGTGGGGGGGCAAGGGAAGAAGGGGGGAAATGGCACATTTTTTTTCCATTGCAAGTTTAACAATTGCTGGAACCAAACCAAACCCTAAAAACTGCACGGTAAGTAATCCATCGATCCCCCCAGGACTGATGGGAAGAAGGGGGGGGGGAAGGAGAGAAACCAGATACTGAGAGAGATTCCTCTGACTTGGTTTGTGCATGGGTGTAAATGTTCACAACCATCTGTTCTAAGATTATTTTCTGAAGACACAAAATGCGCCTGTTTGCATGCACAGGATCACTGTAAAAAGCAACAAAGAAGAAAGGGGTTGTTTTTTGTTTTTTTTTTGTTGTTGGTTAGTTTCTTTTTTCTTTTTTTTTTCTTTTTGTTCTAAAAGTATTCTTCATAGCAGCATGTCAGTTGTGTTCATTGCTTGCACACTCAAGTATATCAGTTGGTCCTTTACACAACACTGGTGATCGGTGCAGGGAAGGAGAGGGGCAGAGAACAATATATAATTACAATGATTTAACTACATGGTTGATTTCTTTTCCTTTAGGCCCCAACCACTTCTGAAACTTCCATCTCCACCTCCTCCTCCCCTCCGGGAAAAAAAATAAATAAATACAGGGAAAGAGAAGGAAACAGTCCCCAAACTGGAATCCAATCAAAGGAGCTCAACCAGAGAGTTTCAGTCCAGGCTCACCTAGCCTGACTTGGGATTAAAAACAAGTCACCTTCATTCTTCCTTCAGTTACTTGGCACCCAAAGCTCCCTCCTTTGGGGAATAAACCACAGGAAAAGTCAATCAAGGGAGACTCCAGCTGTCCAGCTGAGCTGCTGGTCACTTTGCAGAGGCTCCTTCTTCCAGTTACTTGTCCAAAGAATATCTTACAGTCCACGTTAATGGCTCAGTTGAGGCCTCACCACTGAGGCTGGGCAGACGCTCTCCTTCCTTACCTGTGCAGTCTGGGCACCCTCGCCTACATCCCTCTGGGCACCACAGGCTGACTCAAGTTGGCTGCCTGCTCCAGACATCATAAGCCAAAGGCCGATTTCACAGCTTTCTCTTCCTTTTTTTCTTTTTCTTTTTTGTTAAAAAAAAAAATTCATTTTGATTTTTCACTCCGGGAGTGCTTGCTGCTGACTCCAGCAACCATCTAATTAGTGTTCTACCTAACCCTACACAAAATGACCCTTTATCTCCCATTCTGTACGAATTCCAGCACCAACAGGGCAAACCTTTCCCCGGGTTGTCAGGCCAAAGGGAAGAACATCTCGTAGTGTTAGTCACCTTTGTTTCTCACGGCCAGGGTGAAGGGTTACTGAAACAGACCTGCTTCCTCCTCTCATCGTCCCTAACGACCCAAGCTACTAAAGGTACCTTAAAGAGCCGAGCACCCCCAACGTCACAAACGTGGTGTCCATGGCAGCCACTGGAAAAGGTGAGGACCAGTGGTTTTGGATGACACGTTGTCAACTGAACAGGCTCCAGGAGCAATTAGGGTGTGAGTCCCGATTTCATAATTGTCTACGAGATCCAATTCCCATCCTGGGGCCTGGGGGGGCTTTGTACAAGCTGTTTGGAAACAGCTTGAAATTGGCAGGGGGGAGGGGGAGAGTGAGGCACCTCGACACCAGGGCTGGCCCAGATCAACTGAACCAGCTGCTTGAGCTCTGCAGGCCCTGTGCCATTTGGACCCGCAAGTAGCCCCCGTCCTGAGCTAAGCACCAACTCAAGAGTCCACTGGGCCTTCCCACAAGGGAGCCAGGCTGCTGCCAGGCAGCTAGAGCAGTATCCCCCATCCACAGGTGTGACACACCAGCTGACTAGGTGGCATTATTCAGATAAATTATTCTCCAAAAAAAAAGAAGGGATCCCTAAGCACAGTCCCAGGGACTGTGTCCTGGGACTCACGAAGCTGCTACCAGAAATCTAGATAGTCTAATGAGCCCAACCAGCTTCACTAGAAAGGTGTGAACACCTCAGGCCTGGGATAAAGAAGAAGCAGGACAGGGAGGGTAGAACTCTAAAGTACAGGCCTTCCTTTTTCCCACTCTGAGAAATTTCCCCCAAAACACCCAGCATAATAACATAAGGTTAAAAAAAATTCAAGATTGATTTTCTTCCCTCTATCATCCATTTTCTGCTAATTAGAGCGATGTGGGCTAAAGTTAGTTCCAGGGCAGCCAGGAACTGAGAGGTTCCAGCTCACTGTATTAGCAAGGCCCAGGCTGGTATCCTTGGGAGGAGCCCCCAGTCATTCAGGACACAGCTGCCACTTGGAGAAATGAATTCCTCCCCCTCCCTGGGATTTCGGAAGGGGGATAGGGGTAGAGCTGGGTGAGTACGGGGGACTTCAGCCAGGAAGAGTAAGATCCATTTCTAGAACAAGGGGTCTCTTGTGGGATAAGCTAAGGCCTCTCCATCTCAAAGTTCAGTATCTCCTCACCTCACCCCATTCCCAGGACCAGGCAAAGGGGAGGGGGCGAAGGGGGTGTAATAAGGGGCAAGAATAGCCAGTCCTTGGAAGTTACAGAGAGCAAGGATTCAGTGGCCAGAAAACAACTTGGAAATCATCACCTAAACTCTGCAAAAGGTTCCTACACCCCCCCCAAAAAAATGCTCCCCAGAGCAGTCAGAAGTTAAGGACCAGGGCTGGACTAAACCAGGGTAGGGGAGGCCAAGAATAGGGAGGTCCTTCAGTGGCTTTGCTAGACACATATGTTCACAAAACTTCGTGTTTAATAATAAATTAAAAAAATGTACTGTTCCCGTAAGCCGCACACGCAGGAGTGGAATTCACCGGTCGAGCCCGATAAGGAGCCGATTCTTGTCCTCCTGACTGCATTCATTCTTCAGGTCAGCAAACACCTGAGTGAAGTAGTGGGGGTCAGCATTAATCTGGAGCATCTTGGGGCTCATGAGATTGATAATGGAGAGGCAGCGGTCCCAAAATGCCTCCTTACAGCTCTCCACCAGGAAGGGCTTGAGCGGGTAGGAGATCTCGTTACCCATGTAGGAGTAGGAGAGGTATAGGCAGGTCAACAGGACAGCCTGGAGCTCATGGTCTGTGGCCACCTCGGAGGAAATGACGTCCCTGCAGAGCATATACAGGAAGACCACGTTGGCCGGCGTGATGAAGCCCTGGTCCTGCCAGCCTTGAAGGAGCAGAGAGCGGTCAACGCTTCTCAACCAGAGCACTGGGTCCGTGGGGGACAGGTGCTTCAGGCGGTAGCATCTCCGGCACAGGAACTCCCCCAAGCACCGCAGGAGTTCACTGGTGGAGGCCTGGACGATGACCCGCTTGGGCGTCCCAGGAGCAGTGGAGTTGGAGTGGGGGGCCTTCTTGACGGAGGACACAGCAGTCTGGGAACCGGACAGCTGGTTGGCACTGGGGGCCGGAGGCTGGGTGGGCTGGGGCTGGGCGAATGTGGACAGGTTGGCGCAAGAGAGCGACTTCTTCAGGTTCTCATTGTTCAGGTGGGTGATGTTGTTCTGGTAGCTGCTGTTGGGCTGGACCTTCTTGGAGTTTTTCTTCTTGGCTGACACGGCCACGATCCTCTTCCAGGGCAACACAGAGATGATGGAGTGTCTTTTCAAGCTCTTGTCCTTGGCGTTCTTGCTGTTTTGCACAGCGGTGTAATGGCCCACAGTGGCTGAGCCATCCTCAAAGATCGTGGCCTTCCGGTAGCTGGGGGAAAGGGACAGGACCGTACCCATGGTGTCAGGTGGGAAGCACAAGCGGAGGCTGAGAGGAGGCAGGGGCAGTCCACCTGGGGGCCCAGCCTGCCAGGGCCAGAACCCCGTTCCGGAACAGCCTCTCCTTAGGTGCCTCTGGATTGGGGGCTGGGACTCAGGGAGCGGCTGGACTCTGATGAAAAGCGGCCCCCTTCAGATCTGCTGAGAAAAACAAGATGGTTTCTCTGAGCATCAGGAAGGCTGAAGCCTCCCGGGATCCTCAACCTCCCTGTGCCCACCCTTCTCCTCGGGAAAGCAATAAGATACCGGACCACTCCACGCCAAACCGGGGGATGCTCCCCCTCCCCGCCTCGGCCGGGCGCAACCGCCGCAGCCCCCTCGGGGTGCAGCATCCCTCTCCGGCCTCCATTGACTGCAGCATCTTCCCATCCTCCCATCCTCCCTCCCTCCCTCCCTCCCTCCCTCCCCCGCTGCATCGCTGGCTGCATCCCTCACTCGGTCCCGGCAGCGCTCCGGGGGGCTCGGAGCCCCGGTCCCCCAGCCCCCCTCCCCCGTAGTTCCCTCCGGCAGAGGCTCGGGCGGCGGCTCGGCTTACCGGGAGAGCGGCCCCCGCGGCTGCAGCAGCGGCGCAGCGCGGCTCCTCCTCGGAGCTGGCTCGGCTCCCGCCCTCCGCAGTGCGCACCCGGAGCCGCTCCCTCGGTGGCCCGCCCGCGGCGGCGGCAGCGGGGGCAGCGGCGGCCACGGCGCGGAGGGGCGCGGGAGGGCGCGGAGGGGCGCGGGGCTCCCGGCTCGGGCTCAAGCTTCTGTCCAAGGTTCTGCAGCCGGCGGCTCCGGCCCCGCCCCCCGCCGTCCCCCGCCGTCCCCCGCCGCCCCCCG